TGCTGAACCCCAGGGCTGATGCACAGGGGTGGCTGTAGCTGGTATTTCACATTCTGCTTGGCAGGTTTCACCCTCCTTGCACCTGTGCTGCTGGTGAGGAGGCTGCCAAGGACCAGCTCCCCCCTCCCCAGTTGCAGCTCAACAGTCCAGGCTGTCAGACCAGTCAGGAGGGTGGCAGCAAGCCCAGAAATGCTGCTGGGAGCAGGAGGGGATCTCCTCCCAGGTGCAGGGACTTTTCAAGGAGCCTGCTGGTACCTGCAATGCCTTCAGTGATGGGTGGGCCAGCTCTGTGCCACACAGCTCAGGCACATTGCTGGTGCTCAGGTGGGTGCTGGTGGGACAGGACAAGGTGCTGCCCTGCTCCCTGGGGACCACGGCAGCATTTCAACCTCGAAAGCTGCTCCACAGTGAAGAGGACACATGGGCAGCCCCACCACGGAGTGCAAGACCCCTAGGACTTGCCCTTCCCAAGCCCTGCCCCCATGCCAAGGCAAGGCTTTGTTTAGCATCTCTAGGGAAACATCCCCTCCTGGTTTTGCACAGATGGGGAAACCAAGGCATGGGCAAGTGGCAGAAGTTGTTTCTGACCCCAGGCCAGAAGCAGCAGCCCAGGGGTCCTGCACCCCAGCAGGAGCATAAGAGCCTCCTCCAGTTTGTCCTCTAACCTTTGCAGCTCCCTTTGCAAAGGCCCTGGAAGAGGTTCAGGGTTTCTGCTTGGCCATGGAAGGACAGACTGAATCCATGTCCAACGTGCTGCCTCTGCCTGCTCCAGCATCTCCTCCTGCACACACCTCATGTCCCACAGGGATGCCAGGAGTGTCTCTGCCCAGAGCCACATGTGCAGGCCTGCAGCTCACTTGGCTGCCAGACTCCCTCAAGATGGTTGATACCCCAAAAGTGACTCTTGATTCTCACCCCTGGAAGGGCTGGACCCACACAGGGAGGTCTGGTCATGGTCTAGGGGGAATGAGTTGTGAAGCAGAGACTCAGGGGGAGCTGGGACACCTCCTCCAACAGAAGCAATGATGCCATGGGAGGTAAGGAGCAGATGTAGCAGCCATTGCTCACGTCACCACCCGCAGCTGAGATCCAGGCACCCCCAGCTCTCAGCTGGGGCAGCTTCACCAAAACCTTGTTTGGAGAAGGAAGCAGGGCCAGGAGAGGCAGGAGGAGGCAAGATGAGCTGACTCCACTCCCTCGCCTGGAGCCGTGGCAGCTTCCAACAGCCAACACCTCAGCTCAGATTTGACGTCTGTCTTCACACATCTCCCAGAAACCACCCCCCAAAGAGCAGAGCTGTCTTGCCCGGTCATGTGGGCAACGTCATTTGGGATTAGTAGCATGGAGGACTGGTGGTAATTCCCATGTCACACCTTCCTCCCCAGCTCTGCTCTTTCTCCCCCCAGTGCTGTCCCAGCAAGGCCACCACGGGGGAGCTGAGGACTGTGATGGAGAAGGGCCATGCAGAACTCAGCAATGGAAGAACCCTGGTGGGTACCACCTAGCAGGGCTCCATCAGCCACCAAACCCAGAAGGAGAGCACATGAACACCTGATCCCTGGGCAGATGAGCCCAGGATTAAGGATAACATTGATGAAATCACAAATCAAACTAACCAGAAGAACACTCACACCATGATCTTGAGGATCCTAATTCGGGGACTGTTCCACAGCATCTGGACCAGGCTTTACACCACAGTCAGGCCTAGCATTCCCAAGGGAGGTAACTCAGTGTCCTCAGCTGTGCTTGGGCTTGGACATATCTCCAGGAGAGCCCTTGCCAACAGCAAGAGGCAATTCAGTC